TGAAATACCAGAGTGCCTGTTTTGAAAGACTTTTCATTTTTCCATTCTCGATATGACCCACATGTTGGTATTAACAATCCCCCGTCCCCCGTTTTATACTATTGATACACACGAACATACACACACGAACACACTTGACTGGAAATTAATTTTCAGACCTGCACAATGTCAAGACTTGCTATCGACGGGAGAGGCGAACCTAATTTGCGTGCTCCTTGTCGAGCTGTTTTACCATTCAGCACCAGTCCCCATCAGAGAGCTCTCAGGCCTTTGTGCTGCAGCCTTGAAGTGGGTAAATGAAGATGGAAATTGATGATATGTTGTGCAGTCATTTTACTTGTGAGGGGATGCAGTTTTATTAGCCCGACAGTAAGTGATGTTTTTCTTTCCTTTTCACATCCTAAAATTGAAATGCCTACGTCACAGAGCATTCAAATTGAAAAAAAAAGAAGATACTATAGTTGAATTTTAATGTGGTTTGAAGCCAATTTCTGCTCCTCAAAGATTTTTGTATCTTGCCTTTTCAGTGAGAGAATTACAAGATTAAAAATTGTACTTGCTTACATCAATGACTCCTCTCTACAGTCATAATATCAGTTTAAATTAAATTAAGGCTATAATCGGTATTTTAACAGACAGGTTTAAATCCCAATTCCAATATCCCAATTGTTATCTCCTGACTAAATACTCTCCACAGAGGGCATAAAAGGACAGCCAGCTCCAATCTGCTTCATGTCATACTGCTGTAGTACTACTATGCCATGTCTAATATGCTTTGAAATAGTCCATATGGCCGTGCATCTTCTTACACAATAAGTAGTGGTAATCAAATTGATGTTACGCAGATGCCTGTGAGTGAGCTGCAGAAAGTTTATGATGAGTTTGGACAGACTATAAACATGTCAACTCAAGTAGAAGGAGACAACTCTAATCGATAAATGTCCAGACCAGCATTGAAGCTAGAGGCTATCGGGGGCACTATAAGAAAGACAGTCACGACCAAATGTAAACTAGAGACGTCTGAGGGGACAGTAATCTTGTCTCTTGTCTAAGGGTCAAAAGGCAAGCAAGATAATTCCCTCAAATTTCGTCCCAGGCTTTTATTGTTTCTGTAAAAGATAAAGATGTGCTTTTCTTCCCAGAGCTTCCTCCGACAATCACTGACAAGAGCAAAAAAAACTTCTGACTTTAACAGAGAGAGAATGATGATGGTGTAACAGCGGCTTTGTCTGCTGTTTCACATCTTTCTAAAGGCACTGTGGATTAAAACGACAGCAAGAACACTTTTAACAAGAGGGTCACAATCCAACAATGACGTAAATAGCTGTTTTATCTGAAATTTGGGAGAACAAACGCTCTCAGCTGTCACATCTTTCAAAAGTTTCCACGCTTTATTTTGACCTTTTTACATCAGAGTTTTGAATTTTTTTTCACAGCTGTTTGAAACTTCAGTGCAAGAAAAAGCTTCTCTTAGAGAGGGTTCTCAATGTCTGCACATCAGCCCGCAAAAAAGGCTACACCTCAAGCTAAATAATTCAGTGGGTTTGTTTTATTGCAATGCTTTATATTTTTCTGTAAGACTCCAGCTTAAGTTGGAGATACATTTTAGTCCTACAGCTGGATGACTCAGCTTATTCTGCTGAAGTGCCACTAAATCTCCATCAGCTCTGGGCTCTGTTTCTGTAGCTAAGCATGACCTCTGACTCCTCAATGGGAGGTGGGCAGCAAAAAAAAAAGCAACCTCTCCACGGGGATCTGTACACAACTCAGGAAACAGGGAAACGCAATCTCCTCAAAACCTCCTTCATGTTCTCTGGACAGCGCACTACCATGTCAAGGTCTGTGACAAAATGCAGTAATCTGCAAAGATCTAACTGCAGTCACCGTTCGCTTTCTTACTCTGTTTGCTGACTGTTTACGCATCGATGCTGTGATAGAGGCATGTTGGTTTGGGGTTTTCAGGAATAAAAGGTGTAATACAAAGGATTCGTGAAGCAGGTATCCCGTAAACATGACATTTTGTATAACACTGCTGCAATTAACAGTAACGCTTCTTTAAAAGTATGAATGAAAAACTCCATCAGAATGACTAGTCAGAAAGGTTATAATAATAGTAATAATAATATAAATAATAATAATAACATTTAATAATAATAATAATAATTAATAGTAAACCTTCTCAAAATGACATTTGTTTAAACACTCAACACTTGGTTGTGGCACCTTTACAACAAACTGTATCTGTTTTACATGATTTCTACTTTATAGGACTTCACTTTTACACTAATAAAGTGTCACTAGTTGTTATTTACCATGCCAGTTTACCACTGTAAACTGTCGTAGCATAAACACTGAATGTAAATTTGTTTTCTTCAAGTTCATTTGTCTACGTGTACTGTCTGCAAAGTGAATGAACTAACATTTAAACTTTTTTTTTTTTAGTCAACACTAACTCAGAAATTCCAAAACAATGTTGTCCAGAACCAGAAATCAGAGTAAATAATTAAGTAGCAACTCCCAGTGAAAAAAAAAAAAAAAAGATAATAAAACAAAAATAAAAAATAACAACTGCACTCCCTCGAGTTTCCACTAGGGGTTTCCTTCTAAAACTCAGGACACCCTGTTAAATCGGTGTTAAAATGCCTGTTTTTAAAGCAGAAACAAAGGTGTCAGCAGCCTTAGAAATAGATTTTTCGCCTGAATCTTTTTTTACATTTTTATTTAATGTAGGGTAGAAGGGGGAATACCGTAAGAGTTGTGCATATATTTGAATATTAAGGGGCATGTCTGATTTGACTGAGGCAGAGGCATTATAGCTATGTACCAGGTGGTCAAACCACCTCCTTCTCTGTTTGCAGATTGACTGAAAAATAATGTCAGCTCATCATTTTTAATATTGCCTTCATTGGCACTACTGTTGAGCTTCGAAAAGCCTCTCCAGAATCCAGTGGTGTCCATGTTTTATACTCTTTGCTTCATACATGATTCTGAGGCTGAAAAAGATCAAATCTTGACAGCCAAGCACCGACATCCGAGGAATAAGCAAAAACCAGAGCAAGGGGTGCTGATAAAGCAGAAAAAAATCTGTGAACAATTTATTGAGGTCCATTTGCTTTCAGCAGGTTAACTCCCGGTATGTTTCACTTTATCAATTTATTTTATTTTTGCGCTATAGTATGCCCACAAATCAATAAAACTATTATATTGAACAAACCAGCAATGAAATGCATTAACCATAGCTCTGGGATCTGATGACGATGAACTTTAACATATACAGAGGACACGGGGGACAAAGAAAGCTGCTTTCAATCAACCTTGTCCTGCTGCTGTCAATACATTAATACCCATTCTGTATATATGTGCGTGCATACAGTCTCGTGTTTGTGTGTGTTGATTAAATGAAAGGCGGCAACCAATTTGAGCTGTCCGTGCGAGGTGTGAGGGGTGATGCATTATAAGAGTACTCTCTGTGATTGCGTCAGCGGCTGCGTGTCTAATGCAGGATCAAACTGACCCGCTCTGCTGGAAAAATGCATCAATTTGGTGCCCTTAAAGCAATCATAATATTTCCACACCTCTCAAGTAGTCCTTGAGTAGCCTTGGCCTCTTTGGAGGACTCAGAGGCTAATATCCATCAAGTGTATATATCAGGTAAGCCAGCTCTTCAGTCCTGAAGCACCTCAAATAGGTCTGTCATTCAGTCAGACACACCGGTCATTTCACTTCAACAACACTGGAGCAGCCTTCCTCTGAAGGAGCTCTAGTCAACAATACTAAGCTGTTTTCAGCCAAAACACAGCAGTTTTGTGGGGAGTACACATGGAAACAAAACTGTCTAAATGGTGGGGTCTGTTATCAGAGCTACAAAGAATCATCACACTTTATTATGCTTTTCGTCACAAAGGGCCAAGGATTTCCTTTTCTTTTTTTTTTTTCTTTTTTGGCAAATGTCACCAAACCTATGAGTAAAGTACTATTTATTTTGAGTAATTTTGCAAGTTTATGTTAAGCTTTTAATTATTATGCCTACATTGTGCTCCCTGAGTTGCTGCCAGGTTTAGATGTAAAGCTAAAGGATGCAAGGCGTCTGGACAGACTGGTGAAAAAAGCTGGCTTGCCGAAGGATGTGTTAGAGAGATGTACACTTAGGAAGGTGTAGGCTATTCTAAAAAACATGGATCACCCACTCCACAACACCTTGATGGACAAAAGGGCCAGTGGTGGTGGACGGCTCCTCTCTCTTTGCTGCAGGACAGAAAGATTGAGAAGATCTTTTGTACTCCCAGACTGTTTAATTCTTTTATAAGTAGTGGATGTGATGACATGACAGACAAATGTATTTCCCTTTGAGGATCAGTAAAATTCTTGTATTGATTAAAGATGAGGAATCTGTTACTTTATTAAGATACTTCCATTCAGGGTTAAGTTTGAAAGGTCTATCCAAAGACTAGATAGTTACAGTTGTAAGAGAAAGCATCTCTTTATAATGTACTACACTGTGCTTCTTATATCAACAAAGACAATGATGTTAAGTTTTCATTAACCTCTAATTTTTCATGACCAAACAGAGCCAATTACATCAAAGTTGAGCAAACTGAACGACAAAACTATGGTGAAAATCTCTAGATAAATGCTCAGACAAATACTGACCAAACAAAAAACTAAACAGTTTGCTTTATTTTTCCCTTTAAACCAATAATTTATCTGCATATATGTGTATATATATATATATATATATATATGTATGTATATACAGTATGTATATATTTATATATGTATGTATATACAGTATATATATATATTTATATATGTATGTATATACATATATATATATATATATATATATATATATATATATATATATATATATATATATATATATTATATAATGATAAAAGAAAAAAATCTGTGCACAAAAGCTCCATTAACATGTGCAAAACAGAAAAAAGAGGTTTCAAAAATACCCGCCTACATGTTGACTGGGCCTAAAGCAGGTCTGTAGATTGGCGTTTTGGGACCAGTCTTAAGCCTCACAGTTGTAGAGAATAAGAAACTGAGCTGGAACTCCTCAAAGAGGAAATGCTATCAGCTTAACCAGGGATCCCCGGACATTGGTGTCTAATCAGAAAAACTCTGCACCACACTGATGCTAATTGGCCATTTGTACATGCACTTCTGTATGTTTCATATTTTGTGGCAGTTATCCTTTCAAAAACCGGACCAAACACAGAACTATCCCTCCTTACCTTGAACTTCAACAGTCCCTCAACAACACATCTCAAAGCCAGGAATGCTTTTATCAGAGCCTGGCAAACATTCTCTGTGTATCATTATGATCTCACAGCACCAACCCTGCAATTTATAATTTTTTTTTTACACCCAACTTCTATGCACACAGTCCTCTCTGCTCTCATTTGCTAACAATCCTGACATGAAGATGTGGCCTTTTCATCGCTGCTCACTGTGACACAGGATAAAGTTTTTGTTTTTTTAGGCCGACTGTCACCAAAAACATACAGTATGTCACCTAGATCGGGCTCTAACCAAGCTGATTACAAGTAGCATCACCTAATTGAACTCATGGAGACCCCAGACAGCCTCTCATTATGCTCTCCAGCACAAACAATTTTGGGTTGATGTTGGCTCTTTGATATATAGTCATATCACTTAGCAGTTTCCCTTGTAAGAGGAAACAGAGCTGTCAGCATGCACTGTTAAATCTCCATAAACGGATAGTTTCTGCACTTTTCCCCAAACTTCACTGGTCTAATGTGCTTTGATTGAACCTCATCAATCATCCCTTTGGACCATTGTCAGATGATATATAAACGTAAATGTTAAAGTTACTGCTTGAACGACAGTATTGCTCATGTCACATCACTAACCAGCAGCTGTTACATTAAACAGACATTTATGTCTAGTTTGAAGCCCTCTGCCACACAGGCTTCAGACAGTCGAGAGTTACTGGTTTCTAGATGCCTATAAGGGCCAGGTTTGGGTTGGCAGATACAAAGACTCGTTTTATAAGTACAGAGGAAGTAAAACAGAATGAATAAAGTAACGGAAGGCATAAAATTCACAGCCCAGAGCTGCAAGCATTCAAGGACAATGGTAACTGTTGCAGCTCATAAAATCACTGCAATCTCTTTCACTCAGAGGCGCAGTAGGAGAATGCTGCCTTCGCTATTGGAGATTGGGGAATCAATATATAAAAAGGAGCTGGAAAAAATATTGTAAAAAGCTGTAATTTTAGTGGTGCCTCGTGGAAGGTCATTAGCTGCAACAATAAAGGCTTTTAAGGCTTTTTCGTGAGATGAATACTCAGCATTTATTGAAAGTTTAGCCTGTCTCCCAGCCTACTTCTTGTTCTTGTCACTTACTTAAATATTCCCTGCACTTCAGTGTAGCTCATGGGGCTTTTTTTGGTGTGTAGGGACATCAGCAGTGACAGTAATGTACCATTATGTGCTTCTCAGTGTGTTGGCCTGCTTTGAGCCTCCAGGCACCTCCAGGATGTTTTTTTGCCAAAGCAGAGCCCGTTGACTTTTCAGCCTGTGTGGAATATTTTGGCTCGCATTGTTGTCTTTGGTGGGTAGCAGGAACGCGTTGTGATTGTACAGCAACAAAACAGATGGACTGAAAGTGCAGGAACGTGTTTAAGCTCAAAGAAACCCCTGCTTCTTTGGTGTAAGGAGAGAGGGGGGTAACTGAGTTGAGTAGGTACTCCAATCAGATAAGTGTCTCGGAGAGTGCATAAAACAAATCCTTGCTTTAATTTTAAAGACATATTAAACTTGCATGTGCATTCTTAGTGCTGTTTTTCCTCCCTCCCTTTATTTTTTCTTCCATGCATGGTAATGAATAATCTGGCAGTGAGCCACTGTGAAACATAAGGTGAGAACAAGAGGGAAGGAAGGCTGATGGGGGGTGAACACCAATGAGACAATGTGTAAATAGGAATGAAAGGGGTGAAAACAAGATGCCGACAAGTGACAGTCTTTGTACGGATTGTTCACTGCTCAGCTGTGCCTGACTTTTGTCTGTGGCCTACATGTGATATCAGTGACAGAAATAGCATTTCTCCATCAAAGAATCTGCTCTCAAAGTTTGCTCCACCAAAAATATACTTGAATTAAATCCTGATACTTTATATTTAGAATAGTTCTCTTTTTGCTGCAGAGAAAAAGACCTTTCCAGCAGCTTCATCGTGAATTTCCAAGACTTAGGACCTGTAATTTCTCGTTTTTGAATATGCAGCTGCTAAATCTATAAATAACGTTCACCTACATGCCTGTTTGAACTGCAGGTGGTGTGTCAGGATGTATTTGAATGTTTAATTTTTAATGTTGGTGTGGTTTCTTTAAGTCAACGCATACAATAATATTTATAATGTTTTCAGCATTTAAACTCTGTATTCACATTTGCATAAAAGTGTGGATCCATTTGACAACAAGGGTGTGTGTGCATGATAGGGGTGAGCAATATGGGCTAAAAAAGTTACCACAATAAGATTTGCAATTCTGGCGATAACAATTAAAGTCCTGATAAAAGATATTATAATTCCAATCTATATTTTTTGACTCATTTTTTTCTTGAGAACACCAGATGAAGTCGTCAAATAAGAGACTTCACCACAAGTCTGAGTGGTAGGTTATGAAGAAAACTAATGACATCAAACAAATCTCATGTGAAAACATTTTCAACATTTGTTGAAAACTCTTATTGCACAAAGTGAACAGCAGTAGATCCACTGTCTGATCCCTCATGTGGAGCCTCGTTCAGTAACCAGCTGCTCAGAAATGTCCTCTTCATTACCTTCAGCCATGTTTGTTTGTTATTCTGCTCGGTGTGAGCTATGGCTGTGAGTCTGTCAATCGCGCTTACGTCATCAACTTGCATGTATCGTATTTATCATGAAATGGCAAATATCTATCGTGGAGGATTTTGCTGATGATTTATCGTGAATGATAATGTATCGCCCATTCTTAGTACATAATAACCATTAAACATGAAGTGGAAAAACCATGAGTACAGACTAAGCAGGATCCTTGTGTGAATTATTTTAGAGGACTCATGAATAAAATGAGTGTAACAATAAGGAATGTTGCGTAAAAAAAAAAAAACATTTTTCAATGTTCCTGTATTTTTCCAGATTGTGTGCTTTCCAAAAAGTATTAAAATAACACAATAATTTGTTGGTCATTTTTTATGACATGGCACAGTGTTAATTTAGGAGCTATTTTAGGTTAAGCCTCCCTGCAAATCATACCAGTGTGCCTGCCTAATGGTCAAGTCAGCCGTGCCTCTGATTCGCCGATCTTATAACCTGAAAACAAATGTGTCACAAAAAAATCCTCTGGGGCTGTAAATGTGGTTAGTTTTCCTGTTCTGGCTCACTGTGTATATAGTTTGTGGTGCTTCTGCAGTCTGCCTCAGGTGGACACTCATGGAACTGCAGGTTTTTAATACTTCTCCTTCAACTTTCTCAAGGTTCAAGGTTGCCGCTTGCCTGTGACTGAACTCTTCGATGACTTTGCTCTTAAGTATCAGAGATCTATCACTGATATTATGATAAAACACTTTTTTTATCACTCAAAAATCATATTGATGGCATAGTAGCCCATTTTTGTTTATGTCCTTTGGGTCATCATAGGCGTTTCAAAGGCACATAATAAAAGTGATGTGTGGTTTAGTTTGTGATGGTTGGATACATTTCTGTACTGCGTTTTCATTCCCCATCATTATCATTCAGCCTTTTACTGCGTGTGTTGTAAAGTTTAATAAATATGCTGCAAAGGCCTCCCTTGCAGTTTGCAGCTGTAATGGAATGACCCGGCACTGCTGACGGCACACTCCACTAAAATGGGCCACCATGCACATCTGCCTGCGTAGCTCTGCCACATAATTGTTCGATTTACTGCACGGCCAATATCCCTGTGCTGTAATTGAATATGACTTTGTCCTGTTTGAGTAATCTCTTCATTTCATGCCCTGACCCCATACTGTAGCATGAGAGGGGGAGAGAGACAGAGGGAATGAGAGAGAGAGAGAAAAGGTGAGAGGTGAGTAAAAAGGCGTCTTGTGTAGATAAAGCATGTAGGTCACATTGAGCTGCCGGGCTTCTGGCAATGAGATTTTTGCTGTTGATCGCCTGGCTTCACAACCATCAGAGAGTCGGGGATTTGGCTTCGTTTAAAAAGAAAGAAAAAAAAATACTCCATTGCATCCATGGAGGAGCGAATCTAAAGACCACAGGCTTCTTAAATCACACAAAAGGTACAAAGCATTAGTCCTGAATGATTTGACAACACCTGTGGTTTCTGGCTGCTGTAATCTCAACACAGGCTGCTCATTTCCTGTTTCCTGGATACCTACAGCTCAGATGAACGAACCCTGCCTGAGTTTGTTTAAATTTTTAGTCGTCATTTGGCAAAGGACTGTGTCGCCGTAACAGAAGGTCCCCTAAATTTGCCTAAATGCTTAAAAAAAGCCCAATGATTTCATCTGCATTAATTATTTTCATAGCAAAATATCGTGCAGATCCAAAATTAACAATGAATTACTCTTAGTTTTACTAATGTATTTATTTCAGTGTGTTACATTCATGTTAACAACTGTATTTACATGTATCAGACTTGGACAAAGGTGTGCCGAGCTATGGCTTAATGCAAAGACACTGCTGACAAACACTGGTAACTGTTAGAATTAGAATACGAATTTTTAAATCCCGACCTGAAAACCAAAGAAAACAAAGTACCAAAGTCAAAGTATGGAGCTGGTGCCCATCCCAGCTGGCAATGGACGAGAGGCATAGTAAACCACAGACAGGCTGCCAGAACAATTTAGATACGGAAATTTAATTTAATAGGACATTTAGTTTTATTTAAATAGTTCTTATTAAATTAGATGAGACTGGATGAGATTAGAATAGGTTATCTTGAATAGACTTTATTGGTGCTTTTGGGAAGGTTTCCTCGAAGAAATGTTCGTTCTAGCAGCATCAGCAACAGAATAATCAAATAAGTAAGAAAAAGAAATTCCACATATATCAAGTACAAAGATAAAGCGTCTGAAAAAACTTTAGATACATTCATTATTTATATATAAAAAGTAAGATATAAAACCATGGACATTTGCACAAATGTTTTTTAAAGGCAATATTCTTCCTTCAAAAAGTTTCTCTCCTAAAAAATTGTTTTTGAAAAGCAGCTGCTGTCTGCCGATCAGGGTCACCCTTAATCGGGCCAGTGTATTATTAGCTTAGAGGTCATTGAACTCAGTATTTCCACCATTGTCTGGCCTTCTTCTGAAGTCCGCAAGTTACATCGCTGAGTCGGTGCATGCTGGTACACATCAAGATGACACAGCTAAATTAAAGTTGAGTTTGGATCTTTGTAGCTTCCTTTGCAATGAGCTGACTTTTAACTCTGTCTGTGTTCAGCTCTGATTTGTCTAAAAAGGGGGTAATGTAATCTCCTGCGCAGGAATAACTTCACAGAATGATGTCTTTAGGTTTTAATCTCGTCTTTCATTGAGATCTCATTTAAAGTATATTCCTCCCCTTCCCCCTCCTCTTCCTGTCATCCCATTCAGCTCTAACCTCATTTCTTCTGTTTCCAAGAAGACTCTGACCTTTGGTGGGGGACAGGGACAGAGGGACACACAGACTAACATGGAGGGGAGAGGGAATTGGATTTCTCCCTTCTTGATTGCTCCTCCCTTGTCCTGCATTCAGCCACTTTTTTTTCACCAGCCTGTTCAGCACTCTTCCTCTCTTCTACGCATACACACACACACACACACGCTCGTTTTGCAATGCACTGCATTTATACTGTTATGCCTAGGGCTGTATTAGATAAATCATGTCCCTTTCATTTATTGAAATATGAATTCCCTTACATTGTATGTCATTTCAGATAATGCTCTTCTCTGTGTATGTGTGTGTGAGAGAAGTTGAGTTAAATATTGTATTCACTGTTAGGACCATGCACCAGTTTAATCTGCATTCAGGCTGATTTTTATACAAGTTCAGTGGAGGAGAAACTGTGAGGAAGTGGTGTTGACCATGTGTTTATGTTAAGGCTATTATAGGTCAGTGCAGCATATTTCAACAACTGGAAAAGTCATAGTGTTTGTGTGTCTTTGTACGTGAGCTCCTTTTTAGTATTTACAGCCAGATTAAAGGTCAGCCCTGGCTGGAATCAGGTTCTACGGGAGCATTATTGTTAATGTGGCGGAAATGTTTTCTGCTCATTTGGTCCTCTCTGCTAAAGGTGCTTGCATTTTTAGCATTGATAAATCATTAGCACATTCATTTTCACACATTAGTATAATTAGTGTGAACAAATGAGGCCATTGATGTGGAGACTGGCATCTTCAGCGTGTTCTCAATACTCCGCCTCCTCCTCTGGCTGCAATGTGGAGAAAAGAAGAGGCAGAAATCAAGCTGGAGTCCTTCCATCATAAAATCACTACTCTGATAATCAGGAATTAACTGAACTAACAAAACGCATCTTGTTGCTTTTCCATGGAGCATGATGCCACTGTGGCCCTCTGCAGAGATCTGTAGATGGGGAGAGTCTTTTCCAAATACATGTTCAGTATATGCAAATGATGAGTGAGGTCTGCAGTTCTTTTCAATGATTTTCTCAAGATTGTTTTAAGTACATTTGAATGGAGATGATGAAGATTTTATAACAGGTCCCAGCTTTGTAAATCAATGCATTGATGCAACAGGGAAAACCTGTGTAAGAGCTGTTTTCAGTTTGTAAATGCCCCGTTCAATCTGTTTGATGATGTCTAGTGTACATCCAAAGAGGACATAGAAAAGCTATTTTATTTAATCAATAGAAAAAAGAAAAAAAAAACAGCCCAACAAAACCAAAGGAAAGGGGGTCTAGATTTGGAAATAGTTCTGTTTTTTTTAGGAGGTTTGCTGGACAGTATCAGTAAATACACATGATTGCCTTAAACCCTGTGGAAGCCTTTTTTTCATACTTGACTCTTTCTATTCATTTTGATGTTTGATGGATGAGAGTTTACCTCTGAGTGCTCAAATGTATCTGTAATACCAGTTTTCTGTTGAACAGACAGAGAAATCCTTCAACCGCAGCTTTGCTCAGTAAAAGAGCAACACGTCTCAAACATGACATGAACAAGATTTAATGTAAAGCCAGCATCTCAATGTTTTACTGCTCTTTGAGGACAAAGGATCGAACTGGGCGATTTGGAAAAAAAAAATCACGATATATTTTGTCAAATCATCCGATCTCGATTATTATCACAATTTTTCTTTTTTTAAACGCCCGTTTTAAAGCATCTGTACTAAAAAACTAAAGAAGCAAATTGAATAAGATAAACTTAGAAAATTATCAAAAACATTTTAACTCAACAGTACAAGAATTGTAGATAAAAACTAAATAATACAGTGAATTAGTTTAAGGTCCTGAGTGTTTCTGCAGGTATGCAAGACACAAAATAAACAAATCCTCCCCTCAGGAATAATAAAGACGCATTAAAATGTAAACATTAGATGATGTAAACATAGATGATTTGATTGGTTGCTGCTTTGGTCTGGTGGCTGCACTGCTAGTTGTGACTAAACTGCTGATGCTACTTGTGCCGTCAGCAGTGACAGGCTGCAGAAACTTCGCTCACATTTTCATGATTCCCACATAATCAGCGGGCAGTTCCTCTTCGAATGATTAAACAGATTTGTTGTCTAGTTGGTTTTTGAGGGCACCGACTGCCGGACTTTGGAGATACCCGAACCACCGCCACACAACTGGCGTTGAGTAACTTTTCTTCTCAACAATGGCATCTTTGGAGGAAAACTCAAAGTCATGGCTGACATCTATTTTGCTGCCCTCAGCTCCACATTTAGCTTTACGTTCGGTCATTCTGTTTACTTTCCCTGTTTGCTTGAGGGGAAAGCAGGAAAAGCTTGACTCCGATTGGCTGTTGTCACGTACATTTCCGCTATGTTTGATTGAGTAAATATGTTCACAGCTGATCACCATGATCAAACTGAAATTTATCACGATCATATAATCGCCCAGTCGTATAGAAGGGTTACACCATGTACATATACACAAATTGACTGGGACACATTGACACATCAAAGCCATATGCCTGGCTCAGTTTTCAGGTTTGCCATGAAATAAGACACTTTTGGCCCCGCACATTATGCAGAGGTGTGCCACTGCTGCGCTCATTATCCTGAAAAGTCACATTTTGATGCACTTACTGTAACAGACTCCTTTAATTGACTTCAGTGGTTTAATCATGTTTACATCAAGAGTCATGCGTTTACTAGTGGATGGAAAGTCAAACAGATACAGTAAGTTAGGAGGAGTCCTTTCATGTGGAGCCATTCTGGTTGAATGGCCACAATTTGCTATTAATCCTGTATGCAATCAGCAGCTGGTTTCCTGTTTCATTGCCTGAACCCTGATGGAACTTTGATACTGGTGTTGGTGGTGGAGGAGATGGGCTGCTCAGACAGTGGAGTGGTTTATGACCTGATTGAACTTTTGCTTGGCTCCGTCTTTACTTGATTATGTTGTTTGGTGCTTTTTCCTCTTTCCCACCTCTGCTGACCTC